TTATTATTATTATTATTATTATTATATATAGCTAGTTGCAAATTAATATTATTAAAGATGGAACCAAACATCTCACGCTCAAACCGTTTGAGGTATACATATGAAAATTAGAATACTTCCATTTGCAATTATTTCACATATTTTGAGGTTCAACTTAACACATAGTGTTTGAGTGCGACCGCCATCTTGAATTTTTTAATGGCAACATAGGTCATAAGTAATAGGAAGCTTATTTCTTTCTCTTTCTTACTACTTTAATCATAAATTGTGTTAAATTAGAAAATAATGGAGAAAAATCTGCGTCAAATGGTACATATTTCACAAAAATAAGCTTTATTTCTGACGTAATACAATAGTTCTAAGGAAACAAAGCATAGGTACTGTGTTTTTTACTAAACACATGCTGGTTGCTTTTTAGTTAATTTTTGACGTTCTTTTAGGTTAAAGTGCAGTACATAAGCCAGTGAAGCGTATGGAAAGGTCTAATTTTTCTCTATTATTTTTTAATTTAGCACCATACATGTTTAAGGTAGTAAAAAAGAGAAAAAAATAAGCTGACCTATGGACTATGTTGACCGATGACCTATGTTGCCATTTAAAAAAATTCAAGATGGCGGTCGTACTCAAAATCCATTTGCCAAAAAAAAACTCATTAACAGTACCGACATTGAACCACTGTAACTTTACAATTGAGTGTTATCGTACATTTTTAATATCTACACGATTGCCTTGACTGTCTCCCGAGCGCTTTCTTTACAAGTTAAATATCCATTTCGGTTTTCATTTATTACTTCCTCTATACCAAACGTGAACGAACCCATGCATTTCTGTTTACACAATCAGTTACGTATTCAAGTGTTGTTTATGTGACAAGTTATCGAAATTTATAGCTTCAGGCTGTGTCAAACAAATATCGTGCCCATACTAATATTAGGAAAGGTCTTGAAAATTTTAATTTAGATAAATCGCTACATTATGTTCAAATGTACGTAGTGTTGTTTATCGCTTTTAAGTTGTTAAGGACGGATCACTTCAGTACCTTTATTGTCCTTGAAATTCGTTAATGCTGAATATTTCACGTACTCGAATGTCAAGTGGTGATTATCACCCCCTTGCAGACCATGGTTCATGATTTGATGTCGCCGATATCGTGCTGCTCACCTAAATACAACTTAGATTGAAATTATTTCACTTTTCATTACTTGGTATTTCACCGTCACTGTAAAAATTGTACCTTACTAGTGGTAAATACCTCGCATTATTCAGTGATTTCCTTGATCCTCAACAAAATAAACCCGCTGATTTCCACCGGCCAAACGGCTTAACTAAGTTCCTCCTCGCACTGTAATTCCACTTATCATCCTTCACACTTGCGTCTTTTAAATTGTTACAATCTCATGATAATAATACGATGTCGTCTTTTATATGTACAAATTTCCTTTAACTACAATGTAAACAGTAAAAAAATAATTAATTTTAAATTAGATGTAAATGAAAACAGCCATTAGAAGATGTTCAAAAAGCAAAAGGTGTTTACGCCCTTCCTGAATAATTTTTAAGTCCAACAGCCTTTTTTGGCTCCTTATTTTCTTCTAACGAGCGGCACTGGAAACTGGCAAACAAACTTCTAACAAACGAACCGAAAACTTGGGGTGGAAAACTATGGCGAAAAGTACGGTTACAGACGGACAGCGGTTCGGCTTCGAACTTCAACAAAAGGCGTCTTCTTTTCGCGATTCTCGTATTTAAACAAAAATCTCGCTTAAAATTCGTAAAACTTTAATAGCCGATAAACACTGCCTAGAAACGATAATAGCCAATAGCCAGCACCTCACACGGCACGTACACCTCCTACTTCTATTTTTCTTATCTAATTCGAACAATTTCTAGCAAACAACGCAATTTTTCTCAATGATTAAAATAGACACCTCCAAATAATTACCTTTATCTCTCACAAGTAAAGAAAAAACTTAATAAAACAACTCGGAACTGTCAACATTTGCACTAATGAGCAACTGATAACAAATTTGTCGCAAAAATAAAAGCAAGGGGCATTATCACATTTTCAACTTTAGCTTTCACGCTGGGACTGTTTCTATACCTTGATTATACCTAACTTTTGTGAACTTTATAATATGTAAGTACAAAAACCTTTTTTGTTTTACTTGAACGCTTTTGCTTATCTTCTTTGAAATGAACAATTTGTCATTTTTTACGCGTAGCGTTTCTCTGTTCACATCCTAACGCCAGCTCCTAAAGTATTCTTCCGATCTTGATTAAATTTGAGGCATCGTGAATTGGAATTAAGCTAAGATTCCGATAGAAAAAGTGCCCTTTTGGCATAATAATAATAATAATAATAATAATAATAATCTTTATTATTATAATAAGGTGCAAGTTGGCGAATTATTAGGATTTAATTGTTCTGCATCTTTTGGAATTATTTCTTCGATCGTCGATTCTAAGGAGAGCTTTCTTTTACATTCTTTTATTTCCGAGTAATTTTGGTGACCCAGAAACCATCCCCACAAGCTAAACGTTATGTTTGTATTACGAGTGTAATGCGATTTAGGTATGGTTACTCGGAGCGTTGAAATGAAACGTACTCACTTATTTATTTACTACCGTGTATCTCACATCACGGATTCTTCGACTTGACATACATCTTTTCAACTTTAGAGCGACAAGATGCAGTTTTATGGCAGATTTTATCTAGATCTTGGAAGTCTAAAATTA